GATCGAGAAGTATATACAAAAGCTTCTGAGCGTAAAAATGGTACATTAAGCGAGTGATGTGAAAGGTTTGCGGTTCTTGTATAATGAAACAACATCCATTGGAAGTTCCCGCGTCGCAGTACAACATAATGGTAAACTCAGTTCTTCTGAAAGCTATACCTGCGGAGTTGCGCATTGAGTTTCATAAATCAAAAGGGAGTGTCAAATAAGCTTTTGAACTCTACAGTTATCGACAAAGAGCATGACAGTGCCCTTGATAGTGAGCAAATAACAAAGTTGCTGGAGTTTATAAAACTGGAAGTTGAAGCGCTGGAAAAAGCACATTTGTCAGAAGCAGAAAACAAAAGGTGCGACGCAGAGCGTAAAAACACAAAAATAGTTAACGGAGCCGCTGTGGGCTTATATACCAGTACAAATACAGTACAGTACAGTTCGCAAGCCGTGTATTTTTTGTAAACGATCAAATCACGACATAACAGATTGCAAAGAAAACATGGACATCAACAGCGAAAACATATATTAAAGCGAGAAGGTAGGTGTTATCGTTGCGCTAAGCCTAATCACAGTTCGAAGTTTTGCAAAAATCAATGCTGAAATGCAACAACTGTAACGGCCGACATATAACGCCATTGTGCGAAGCTAAAACTAAAAGATATGAAACTGCTATTCCTCCGTTGGGAGAGCATCAGACATTCAGCAGTTCGGTCGCGGTGGTAAATAGTACCTCCACTACATTAGCACAAAAGAGTGCTTTCACGAATAATAATGGACAATGGCAGTCAAGGCACCTACGTGAGCGAATCTTTGGCGAATTACCTAAAACTAACAACCGTCGGTTACGACAAAGCCCGCATATTTGCATTCGGTGAAAATAACCAGCGAAAGCAGTTAACTCCGTTGAGACGCGTAAATGTCAAAGTGCAAAGTCAATATTCGGACCAGATGATTGAAATATGTGCTTCTGTGGTGCCTATAATATGCGCGGACGTTTTACCCGAGCCGCGCTTCGAGGGTCGCTCGTTTATGCATTTGCAAGCAAAATTAGCAGAAAATAGAATATCTAGCGAAAACATAATTGGTGGCATTAATCTTCTAATTGGCCAAGATAACTATTGGAAATTTCACCTGGATACTAACGATAATATAGGTGAGAATTTAGTGGCAGTAGATACTTTCTTTGGATGGACCATACAAGGCTGCTGCTACAATGAGAATTCTAAGTGCGCGTTAAGCATAATCGAGAATCGC